ATTAGCTGTGTAGTTCCTTAGGGGGGTGGGTGCTGGTGTTCATACCTACCGAGTTAGCGGCCACCGATGAGAGATGGCTTTGAAGTTCAGGACGGGTTTGGGTGCAGAATGTGGGAACGAGCATAGAAAGTCTGGAGTCACACCATCTCCCAGGCTTTAAAAAGTTGGGGATTCCTGATGTGGGGTGACTGCTTAAGATGACAGCATACCAAAAAAAACGTCTGCAGCACTATGGCTCAAAAGCAAAACAAAATTAGCTGTGTAGTTCCTTAGGGGGGTGGTGCTGGTGTTTATACCTACCGAGTTAGCGGCCACCGACGAGAGATGGCTTTGAAGTTCGGGACGGGTTTGGGTGCGGAATGTGGGGACGAGCATAGAAAGTCTGGAGTCACACCATCTCCCTTGGTTCCCAGCAGTGTTCCCTCTAAGCTGAGTTAGTGTGAGCTAGCTCACAGTTTTTTAGCCTCCAGCTCACACATTTTTGTCTTCGCTCAGGAAGGATGGCTCCAGAGCAAGCTAATTTATGCAGTTGCCAAATCACCTGCTCACAACTTTAATGCCAGTAGCTCACAAAGTAGAATTTTTGCTCACAGGACTCCACAGCTTAGGGGGACACTGGTTTCCAGTTTGCTTTGAGAAGTCCATCATTCATCAACACACGCCAGTTGTGTTGGCTTTGCTTCCAGCAACAACAGCAGCAGCACCGAGTGGCACAACATGTCGGATGGGGTCAGCCATGACTGGTGGTGCATGCTGTAAACTTGACGGGACAAGTCCACTGCCATACTCTGTGGAGAGTATGCAACATATGGGATGAAGATCAAGGCAGGCCCACCGATAATCACAGACTCCACAGTTTAGAGGGAACATTGGTTTCCCGTTTGCTTTGAGAAGTCCATCATTCATCAACACACGCCAGTTGTGTTGGCTTTGCTTCCAGCAACAACAGCAGCAGCACCGAGTGGCACAACATGTTGGATGGGGTCAGCCATGGTGGTGGAGGCTATAAACTTGACAGGACAAGGCCACTGCCATACTCTGTGGAGAGTATACAACATATGGGATGGAAGATCAAGGCAGGCCCACCGATAACCACTCCCCTTTGCCCTTCTGCTCACACCTTTTCAGTCCTCTCCCTTCCTCTACCAAGTCACGACCATTTTTGTGTATGGGTAACCAGTCATGTATGGCTGTGAGAGTTGGACTATAAGGAAGGCCGAGCGCCGAAGAATAGATTCTTTTGAACTATGGTGCTGGAGAAGACTCTTGAGAGTCCCCTGGACTGCAAGAAGATCAAATCAGTCAATCCTAAAAGAAATCAACCCTGACTGTTCCCTGGAAGGCCAGATAATGGAACTGAAGCTCAAATACTTTGGCCACCCAATGAGAAGGGAGCACTCACTGGAGAAGACCCTGATGCTGGGAATGACTGAAGGTCAAAGAAGACGGGGAGGGCAAAGGATGAGATGGTTAGACAGTGTCATAGATGCAACGAACATGAAATTGAGCCAACTTCAGTGGACGGCGGAAGACAGGAGGGCCTGGCGTGATCTGGTCCATGGGGTTGCGAAGAGTCGGACTCGACTGTACGACTGAACAACAACAACAACCAGTATGCGTTGGCTCATTCTCACTCTATGGCTTGCCTTCCAGCTATGTGCACAGCGCAGGATCCTGCATTGCAGAGTCTGAAAAATCCACATTTGCAGGGGTGCACCAGAAGCTGGATTCCATGCGTGGCATTACATGCACGCAGCCAAAATGGCACTCACGGGATTTCAAAGCACTTTACACACAGAAGTCGTGCCTTCTGCTTCAGCCAGATACTGATAGAATAAAAGCAGGAATTTCAGGAATGCTTCAGGGCTCCAGTGTGGAGTATCAGCTAGAATGTTGGTCTTCTTTGTGAGAAATTTGAGTCTCACACGGATCATACACCTTGTTTCATCCATTGCCATACAAATTGCAGGCTTCTACAGCTTAAATATACCTTAGGGCTATGCAGGGAAGGAAGAAAGGCTTTAATCCTCCAGTCTTCACTCTGTTTTGCTATTCAAAACCAGATTCCCTGCTAGTCTATTAGTATTCTAAAGGAGAAAAGACATGTATTTGTCCCCATTAAAAAGCTAATAACCATTCAGGGAGCCCTGTTTTGAATAAGCCAACTGGATGGAGGTTGAACCACCTCTCCTGCACAGCCCCAAGGAAAATGGAGGCAGTTTGTCTCATCCATCTGAGACCTGCCCATCCATTAGCTTGCATGTAGCTTTGGTCAAGCTAATGTCTCTCAGCCTAGCCTAGCCCCCCTGAAAGGGTTGTTGTGAGGGTGAAATGAGCCTGCTCTGCATACAGTGACCTCCTGTGTCTGGGGCAAGGGATGCTCTGTATTCTTGGTGCTTGGGGGGCAACAGTGGGAGTGCTTCTGGAGTTCTGGCCCCGCTGGTGGACCTCCTGATGTCACCTGGGTTTTGGCCACTGTATGACACAAAGTGTTGGACTGGATGAGCCATTGGCATGATCCAACATGGCTTCTCTTATTTTATGTTCTTGAGTTCTTGACAAGGACAAGATAAAACTGTGATAAAATAATAAGGGAATGATTCATTCCCTGTGATGCTCAGTCTGCTTGCCAACCATTGCTAAAATAAGTCCGTTCTTACCCAGAGCTTTTTTTGTAGAAAAAGCCCAGCAGGAA